TGCCTTGCTTGCCTTGCTTGCCTTGCTTGCTTGTCTGCCTTGCTTGCTTGTCTGCTGTCCCTGTTTGTCTGTCTGTCTGTCTATCTCTCGCTATTTCTCTCTCTTTTTTTCTTTCTCTCTCTCTCTTTCTTTCTTTCCACGTCATGCAGCAATTCATCATAATATATCATATTTAGGAACTCACCCTCATTGATATGTTTACAAACGGCAAATCATAATTTCCTTTCCTATTTTATGTACTAGTACTTTCGACTGTACAAATTGTATTTGAAAAGTAATAGATGTAAACAGGCTCATTCCTCCCATCCCCCAAGTTTTGTTTGGTTGTTTTTTTATTTCAATGATGTTTTAGTCGTTGTATGAATTTGCTTTGGGAGGTCATAAACTGGGAATGATTATCATGATATGCCTCTTCAGGGATAGTACGCACGAAAAAATTACAACTCACTTACAATCACAAGAAAGAAAAAGAAAGAAATAACTTTGGAGTAAAGAGGGTTTTTCCTACACTTTCCTCACTTACAATCATAAGAAATAAAAAAGATAGAAATAACTTTGGAGTAAAGAGNTACACTTTCCTCACTTACAATCATAAGAAATAAAAAAGATAGAAATAACTTTGGAGTAAAGAGGGTTTTTCCTACACTTTCCTCACTTACAATCACAAGAAATAAAAAGATAGAAAGAACTTTGGAGTCAAGAGGGTTTTTACTGTGTAGACACTTTCCTCACTTACAATCACAAGAAATAAAAAGATGGAAAGAACCTTGGAGTAAAGAGGATTTTTCCTAAATGATCTTACGACGAAAAAAGAAAGAAAGAAAAAAAAAAGGGAGGACAAACGTGGAATCCAATATCAAAGTTAGATAAATTATTGTTTAATTTACCTTTATAGACTATAGAAATGACAATCGCCAGTTCTAATAATCAAATTTGATTGCTTTGCAAATCCCTGTAGGCCAGGAAGCCTACCACAAAAGTACTAATGACTTTTGTCTGTGATTATTTAATCAAATAAGACACTAATTGATGATTTATTGCTTTTATCAAAACATGAACTTCAGCCAGATACTTTTCTCGATTTATAATGTTTGTCTATGTGTTTTTTTAATAAAATAAGACACTAATGAATGTTTATATTGCTTTTATCCAAAGATGGACTTAATCCAGATGCTTTTTTCGATTTGTCTGAGTGGTTTTTAATGAAATAAGACTTTAATAAAAGTTTATATAGCTTTCATCCAAAGATGAACTTACTAGTAAGCCAGATACTTTTCTCGACGTTATCATAATAGTAAGTTAGGCAGTCTGCCAAGGCAATTACTTTTCACTAGAGATTGAAGTAACCAGCCTAATGTCTTGGCCAAAATACTAAAACTAGTAGAGCCTATGTTTCAGCTGTAAAAGCCTATAATATTTTCATTTAACGCATGATCACTAGTCAATTAATAGCTTAATTACGCGGAGAAAAGTTCGGTTTAAATCCTAAGATTATAAACTGCTAATATAAGTATATATCGTGGTGGGAATAGAGCCTTGCACAATGTAGTACTTATCCGTTTATCTATCATAGCATTAATTGTTACTCATTCACGACATTGTGTAAGCCAAAAATCACCTTGAAGACAAAAAGATATTGCAAAAAGATATTAAAGAACGAATACCCCAAAAAACCATATACACACACAAAAAAAGATTAGATTAAAAGGCAAAAAAATGAGGAAAAAATGAATGAAATCGGACAAAAATTTCTCGCGCATGCGTAGTAGGGGCATTTTACGGTCCTTAAGTCCCTCGCTATTAGCCTCACTTTGTCGATACCCACTGAACCTTCCTTCCACTCCTGCAGGCATTGTTTTACATCAAACGTGCTGAAAATCACGACTTTTCTCACGCACACACACTGACACTGACACTGACACTGACACTGACACTGACACTGACACTGACACTGACAGAGACACTCTTACTATATTCAATTTTCTATACATACTTTATTCAGCTCACAAATAAATTTTTAAGGAGGGAGAAAACCGGACAGCCCAGAGAAAAACCCTCGTGGCAAGAAGTCTAAAAATACATCAAGCATCACCCATAAACCAGACATGTTTTTTTCGTTTAAAATGATGTTTTATTAGTGCCATTCAACAAGACTGCCGTCACTTGATGGTGCAAAAAATCTTAGACGTCAACTGACATAGGCGCATGATGTATCTATCCATTTCGATTCATAGACATGCAACTTAGAAGGAATTAAAAATAGAAAAATAAATTCGAAGAACTGAGTAGTTTAATTTTCCTATCAAGGCATGATTTTTATTAGTATCATGATTTTATCACAAGGTATTTGTCAAATGCTTCAACAGCAAATAGAGATAAAAACCCAAATGTTATATACCCATCATATAAGATCTGACCTTATAGCCATCATATTGAATCTGAATTCATAGCCGCCATATAGGGTTTGACGTCATAGACACCATGTTGGATTTGACGTCATAGCTGCCATATTGGATTTGACGTCATAGCCGCCATGTTGTATTTGATGTCATAGCTGCCATATTGGATTTGACCGTGATAGACACCATGTTGGATTTGATGTCATAGCTGCCATATAGCCCCCCGCATTTACGCACCAAAAATTTTAACTAGGCCAGTTATTTTGCTGATGACTATATGCGCTAATTAGACAAGATAAGGGTGATTATATTTCCTTGAAGCAAAGTAAACCACTGTTCCCCTTCTTCCTCCTGTTTCCGAACCGGATTCCTTTCTATGGAGATGTATACGAGAGTTTGTATAATTGTCTCTCTTCGATTTTCGACAACAAGTCAGAGCTTTTTTGAAGCCCGTTCGGTAGTTCTCGTTGAAGGCTGCATACATGCAAGGACTGACAGAAGCATGCGCGCGCATGAGAAATTTACATGTGAAATACACAAAGGGTGGAATTGACAAAGAATGTTCCTTGTACTCCCACATAAATGTCGTCACCTGTACCGGCAACCAACAAACGACAAATGCAATCACAACTGCAATAAGCATTTTGACAACTTTCTTGCGAGACTCCACTATTCCTTTCCGTGATTTGGCGTCTCGTTCTCCGGGAATTTTGCGCATCCAAAGTTTTCTGCATATCATTGTATACATGATGGTAATGGCTAAGAAGGGAACACAGTACGCTATAGCAAAGAGCATGGCGCTGTAAACCCTTGATGCTTTGCGAGTCTCAAAAGCAGGCGACCAGTCTTCTTCACAAGACAAAAATCCTTTCGAATTTTCAATTATTTTTTGCGCATAAAAAACTGGAGCTGCCATCCCCGACGCCACAAGCCAGATAACAGGTATTATTACATAGAAGACTTGTTTAGTGACGATTCTTTTTAGGGGAAGGACTATCGCACAGAATCGATCAACAGCGATGGCCGCTAGGGTCAGCACGGAGACCACTACGAATAAGTAATGACAAAAGTGGACAACCTTGCAGAAATAAACCCCACGAGCATACGTGCCCATAGCCCAGTCGTAATAGTTAAAAATTTCAATATACATCGGTGGCATTACCATTATGATGTATAGCAGATCTGCAATGGCCATGTTGACAATGAGATAATTGATTACAGTATGGATCCGCTGATTCTGAATGACTGCCACTATAACAAGAAAGTTCCCGAGTACTGCTACCAAAAACACTATGCCAAATGCCACAGCCTTGGCTATTTTGGATTCCACAGATTCATCGTTTTGGTCAACAAAATCGCTGTGTAAGGATACATTGGTCTGATTTTGAAATGCTTTGTCCATCTTGACCTTGTAGTTCTTTTTACCGAAAAAATTTATCTGCGGAGAAAATATAGACACATTTCTCAAGCCGTGGGAACAACTCGATATACAAATATTTTATTCATAGCGTTTTTTTACAAGCTAGAAGTGAAGAAATAGAAAACGCGCGCGCGCGCTGTATCCAGTTATAAAGCATGCGGCAGTTGACAGAGCACGAGAGAAGTCATAGACGCGTCGTGCTTCTCAAAACTTCTCGACTGTTCTGCCAATCCCCTAGTGCTTTATAAATGCACACAGCATAGCAAGCAAGTTTTTTTTCTTTTATGAAATACAAATTACAGGAATGACGAAACTCTAAGTGCGCGCGCGTGCTGTGTGCTCTCATAAAGCACGCGCTTCCAACTAATCAGAAAGCGAGATTTAGATCGGTTATTTTATAAATGGGGTGTGCTGTTACAACGATATTAAGAAAAAAACTGACTATAAAACATAATTTTCAATTTCTTTTTTTTTGTTTGTTGGCAAAATACTCGCTCATTTAAGAATTGCATGGAAAGGTACACAAATGAATAACTCTATAAAACAATTTTTTTCATCTTACAAATGAAAAAGGACGCAATAAAGGGTAGCTTGAAATAGTAGCATATTTTACATATGAAAAAAAGTTCTGTACGAACTATTTTGCAAATCTAATTTTTACTATTTTCCATGGACTTTTATACTTCATATTTTTCTGTTGTTATTAGAACTCATGCGGTGAATAATTAACACTTATTGACTGGGACCCAGGGAAACAAACTGCTTTCCCGAGGTTCCAGTCAATAAGTGCTTTATTATCATATCAAGTGTCAAAGATAACAAAACATTTGTCGCGTCGCATTTTTGGTGAATGCAGTCTTTTTCTGTAAGTAGTTGTTAAATTTTCTACTCTCCACGGTCAGCAAAGCGAGCCATCTTCGATAAAACTACTTTTTACTTATGAATGAATTTTTTGAGGTAATGTTTTTCGTGGTCACGTGACTTCCGGTTTTGATATTTCCCGATTAACAATGCATTACTTCCCTCTCAGACARCTCGCCGGGAAACAGTCGAATTTCTTCGCGTTCACGTGATACACTCTCGACCAATAGAAATTGAGCAAAATTGAGCTTTGACACTTGGTATATAATAATAATAATTATCATATGCAAGCTCATAAACACATTTTTAATCATTATACATAATTCATCGTCTTAGCATCCAGTCACGACATTTAGATGCGACGCCGAGTACGAAAAAGATTTCGAGTCAGGTACGAGTTTTTAACTTTTAAAGATTGGAAATATAATATTACGTAGAATGGAACTTTGGCAAATTGTAAAAAAAAAATCGAAAATCCACGAGCACTACGATTCAGTGTTAACCACGCAGACAGGATCAATTTGAAACCTCATTGATGGTTTTCAACCATTTCCAAGAGAATTAAATAACAAAAGACACGGCGGCCATGTTGGAGGATATAACAAAAGAATTCATTGATAATTCTTTTGTTAAGTTCCTCCAACATGGCCGCCGTGAAAACCATCAATACTCGTACTCGATCTTGTACTTTAAAAGTCCTTACTATATTAATTTATCAAGAAAAATCGAGTTCATCAATCTATTGTAAATGTTTTGCCATTATTGACCAAGGCGAAATATTAGGCCGCGATACTAAAAATGTGAATGCAGTAAACTAAGGCTAAATGATATATATGTTTATTATTGTCAGTGTATACATAAAATAAATATAAATAAATATTTTTTGATAATATATGTAATATATAATAATACATTATTAAACCTTTGTTTAACCCACGCAAATTTATATTTATTCACAAGAAGCATTTCAATGCGATTCAATGCATTTCAATTTATTATTCTAGTCAATTTTATTCCTTCAAACATATTCCTTTAAAATGCGATTTTCGTTTATTTTTTAGTTACGTTTCGGTCAAGTTTCTTAGGATTGACTGTAGATTTAAAGGGATTGTGTTGATTAAATTATTCCAATCCTTTAGGCTAACTTGAACTAGATTTAGGGTTCTCCAAGACTCGTTATAAATTATGGGTGCGACCAATAAGATTAATTTGCTATATTCTATGTAGTACTTCAAAGACGACCAGCTATATTTTATTTGACGTTCGAATTCACCAACTACTTGGAGGGCGCTGTTGGATATTTCGCATTTGGGAGAGAGACTATGTCTATAAATCAAACGAACATGCTGGAAATGACAAGATGTTGATAGAAATTGATAAAGTAGGTTACATATGAAGTATACCACTTTGGTATAGTGTTCAAAGAGTATATAACATAATAGATTCAAAGCATGGGGATCTTATATTTCCTTGAACTAAGTCTAAGTTTTTATATAATAACGGAATACTGGCGTATAATACACCGAAGACTTGTAATTAAACATTTTTCTTGTAGTTCTTTTCTCCCTTTTTTCCTTTTCTCGTCTCTTTTTTTTTCACTCTCTCTCCCTTCTTCAGTATTTTTTCTTTTTTTTTTTAGCCGGCAGCGGTAACCGCCTTTATTCTCCTAGTAATTTATAGTTTTCCGATGTTAAGAAACAATTCAAAATTATAAATTTCCGATCGATTTATATAAGTGCCTACTACTTGCCTTTGGGTTGGAAAGTCTATAGCGTCATAAATCAGCAATTTTAATTGATACAAGACAGATCCTATATTTCGGCTCCGGTGCCCGCCGGAGAATAATGATTGAATATCACCGGCTTAGCAATACATGTAATAAAATCCACCCAAGAAACCCACGCAATCTTCTTACAAGTTGATGAAGTTTTCCCCCCAGATAAATGAAGTTGGTTTAATTCATTCCATCTCTTTGTACGTTAGCGTCGAGTGCGTGCATGTCTTGTGCTAATCTTAGAGTTAATTTCGATTTTCACAAWTTTTTTTTCCGTTTGCAATTTTGAAGTTTTCAAGATTAATGCCTCGCGTTGACCCGTCAAAAAAGATCGCAAATTCAAAAATGACAAAAGGGGTGAAAAATTTGTGGTTTGCAAATTATCCACGTGAAAAAAATAAATGACATGAAGTCATATTGATTGATATGACAAAAGCAACTAATGACAAAGTTTGTTCAACACTACCATGATTGTATGAAAATTGTAATATYGAAGGCTGCCCGTCAACGTAAACTTGACTACTGTTCTTATAGCTTTTTGCCTTCAATGAGACGAGTTTCAATAATTTCCTAGCCCATGCGTGTTGGAACCGCGCAGCACAATGACCGTTTGTTTAAAACAAAGCGCTCGATACCCTAACTCAGATAGCCTAGATACAATTCCCTGTATTTCAAGACTCAGAATTTGTTCAGAGCCTAGTTTCAATTGCGAGGATCAGCTCAATTTGATGTATTTTGTACAGTGTATTAAAAAAAAAAAAAATTCTTTAGCTTCAAAAAAGCTATTATTTATAAATGGAGCTCTGAATATATTTATGTAAAAAGTGTGCATTTTGCTATTTTTCTTTGTTTTTGGGATTCATTAACATCATAAATTATAAAATATACACTGTTTTGTCAATGGAGATGTATTGCTTACTTAAATTTCAGTCGTAGCTCAAGCCGAGAGGATAACGACGATTATAACGATACTAGCTATCACGTTAACGAAGTCAAACCCACAGTTAGACTGAATATTTCCTAATCCTGGAATGATTTCTAGGCTAATTAAAGTCCTGGAATGGCTGGCTGAGATCGATACTCCGAAACAATCTCTGGGCAGATCAAACTCAGGGCATGTCTAACTCACAGATAAAGCCCTGAAACACCCTCTGGGCTGATCTAAGTCAGGGCATGACTAACTCACAGATTGAACCCTGAAACACCCTGGGCTGATATAAGTCAGGAGACGGCTAGCTTACTTATTGACTTGGAATTAAGCGTGCTAGTTTCAGTTTGTGTGGAGTACGTAATGTGGAATGGAAGTTGTTTTCGAGTCTCGATTTTCCTGAACTGAAGTGCAAAGATAAGAGACGATATAGTTTAAAAACATCTACTTTTTATAGATTAATTCATGCGATATGGGTCGAAATAAAAAAGGAATTTTTATGGAAAGAATCTGAAGATTGATATGTGAAAAAAAAAAAAAAAAACAAAAAAAAAAAAAAAAGGAAGAGAAAAGAAAACGGAATAGGGAAAAAATAAATAAGTGAAACAGACAGAAAATCGGGAAAGCAGACGAACAGAACGAGGCGAAAAGAAAACGATTAAAAAGGAAAAAAAAGTTACCTGTTGAAAATAAAAAAAAGCTTTAAAAAAATTGATACGATGAAGAGTTAAATGCAACTGAAAAAAAGGCCAAAATTTATAAAGTACATAGTTCCTGTGCGATTTCTTAAACTAAAATCTCGTATCCCAATCTAAGAACCAATTCGCGAGTTTTCATACCTTTATATTTCTTGGTAACAAGAAGTGGTGCTTCGAAAACTGACGAAGCCAATTGTTTCAATCAATTGCAAAGTTGTTCTCGATCGGCCTTGGTTCTCGCAGGGTTGTGGCAAGCATGTGTTGTTTCTTTGTACTTCAGTGTCTCGCAATAATTATTTATTTATACAGGGATATTCTACTTTTCGTAGTTTTATCCTCAGTGTCCTAAATATTTACCTAATAGTGTCATCTTTAAGATAGTAATAATTCAGGTTTGACGTGTGATTCTTATTAGTGTTGAAAAGCTGACAAAAAGGCTATTATGCAAAGCATGACATTTTGCACGTCTTGTGTATTGACGAATTTATCGACTACGACTCTTCTAGAATATTAATATTCATTAATTTACTATTTCTTTGGCACTGAATCCACTTTTTTTGCTAAGAAACTGCAAACAAATACTAAATAAGTAATATGGATTAGCAGTTCAGCGGCCAAGAAAATAATTTATTAGAATAATTAAGAGAAAGGAGGAGGGCAGAATCAGTTTACTTCAGGTTTGAATAGCTGTATATTTACTCTATTAGATATATTTTTATATTTCTATTTTGATCCCTATAGTTTATAGTCATATTTAGATTCTGTAAATGTTGTTTGTAATAAAATCACCAACATCATCAATTCATCATCATCATCATCATCATCAATATCATAGTTATCGTCATCGTATCACTTTTTTATTAGTTAACTTGGCAGTATATCATCATCATCATTATCATCATTATCATCAGTATTATCATCATCATCATTATTATCAGCATCATCACATTATCATCAATATCATAGTTATCATCATCATATCAATTTTTTATTAGCTACCTTGCCAGTATTATCATTATTATTATCATCATCATCATTAGTATTACCATATCATCATCAGTATCATCATCATCATCATCACATCATCATCAATATCATAGTTATCATCATCATATCGCTTTTTTATTAGTTAGCTTGCCAGTTTTTGATTACTATGCATTTGTCTTATTATTTTTGAAATACATTGTAGAGCGTCTTAGAACTATTGTATTTGCGCGCTATAGAAATAAAGTCTATTACTGTTTATTATCATTATCTTCATCACCAACATCATCATCATCCTCATCACCATCACCATCATCATCATAATTATTGATATTAAAGTTTTATATTATTATTATTATCATTGTTATTATTATTATTGTTATCGTCTGTAATCTCGAGATTATTATTATTATTATCGTCTGTAATCTCGAGATTATACTTCCTTCATGGGATACGTTAATAAAGAATAGAGACATATAGACTAAAATAACTTTTATCTCATGCATACTACCCAATGTAAAGGCTCATAGATAATTAAAGCTAACGATAAGTTCCCTCTTGGCCTTCCATTACTTTTCATCAATTATTTGCGAACCTTTTAAATATTTTATTACCTCTTTCTGTCTTCTTTCTTCTTATTCTTCATTCTTTTTAGTATCTATTCCTCAATCAGAATTTAGAACTGAATTCATTCGTTTGACTTTGACATTTGAGGCTCCCCTCATGCTCTTATTCAAGATCAAATAAATATACTATTATCTAATAATATCTATTAATATCTAGGTTTCTATTGATATCTTATGTACTTTTTTATTTGGCTTCACTCGAGTATATATAATATCGATTTTTGGAAATCAAAAACTGTCGTCTTCTTAGTGCACCTACACTTGACCAGGCAGTATACAAAATTAAATTTATTGATTTTGGCTTCTTCACTGATTGTGTTGTAGTATACATTTTAAATGCATTTGTTCATCCATTAAACTAATTCTGAGTATATTTCAGACGTTATAAACCCGGTGGACTACTGAGAAGAGGATTCTTCAACCTACTCATTTAATATAGTTATAAAATAAAAATCCATCTTGTAAAATTATATGCAGTCTTGACTGTCTTACCTTGTTCGTTTTCTGCTTTCCCAAAGTTTGCTTTTAGCACGTCTTTCCCTGTGAGATTTTTTCTTTAAAATGCATTGGTCTACACGGCTTTAAAATCATAAGAAAGAGGAATATGTTTTCACGACGGAAATGGAGGCAAAATGATTGTGCGTTGTGCTGAGATATTTTTTCTTCTAAACTGATCGACAAAAGGTTGCGTGTTATAAAGAAAGCACTCCCACGTTTATAAGACGCCTTAATAATTAACGTTAAGTGCTAGTTGGTGAATATAAATTGTTTCTATTTATATCTGGGAGCGACGCGGTAGTAACGTGTAGAAGTGTTCTCATTACGTAGAAGAGGACTTGACTCAGGTCAGCGATAGCGTGTAATGTGGGCACACAATTACATTTTGACCAAATGTTGACGTCACATCGTAAGTTGTAAATAAGAGGAAATACCACGCTATGTTATCGGAAATTTGTTAAATGTAGTCTTTAAAGACTTTAACAAACTGCCCTTGACTGGTAAGTGCGAATTTCTTGTGATTATGGCCATGACGTCTTGTACTACATACTGACTTACACCTGTAAAATGGCCAGGTTCCAATTTGGAATTTGTTCGTGGCATTTCTTTTGTATTTCCATGTTAGCCTCGCATTCAAGACAATTTTAAGAAGCGTGCATTGCTTTTTGGGTGCATTGTTATTCTCCTGAGAGAGAGAGAGATGCGAATGAACCTGTCTGAAAGTAGGATGACATGAATCATGGACTCCATTTAGATTTGTTTCAAACTGAAGTGTTCTCATTTTGTCTCCACTACATTTACAATAACGAATGTACACTTTTACGCCTCAAGATATCGATCACCCCGATAATTTTTAGATGTGGTTTTCGATATTTTGCAAACTCAGTAGTTGCAAGCTGCACGCTGTAATTTTCTTTTTCACTGCCGTCAATAAAAATTATACAGCTGGTACCTTTTACGGTTCTCGACTGACGGCAGTGAAAAACCAAGTTCACAACAATTTAGTCCGCAGATGGAAAACCGCAGAATGACTTGCTCAGCTTGAGTTTTATCAGTACTTAGAAATTAGAGAAAATAACCAAATTGAACTGCACCACCGTGCTGACACTTGTTTGAGTTGTGATTGGTTAAATCGTGCGAGAACAATGGGAAGCCATTTTAATGTTGCGTCACTGATGACGTGATATGAAATCGTGCTGCGAGTTGATTCAGAGTAGTGACTGTCAGCGCTCTTTGATCGCCATGCACTTAAATCAAAATCTGGCTTTATTTTCAGAAGGTTTTTTTTTTACCGTATAGACTTTTTAATTGACCGCAGACAGCCAGAACCTTACCTTAATGTCTTCCATACTACGTGTACCTTGCCTTTTTTTAAGCTAGGGAAATAAGTCGAGTAACTGAAAAGCAGAAAAGATCAACCAATTGCTAAAAAAGTACGTAAAAAAAGAAAAAGAGTTTATAGTTTAAACTGCATGTTACTTTATCACCAAATATATTTCAGGAAATCAAATATAAACGTGCAAAAAGAAACGCTTTAGAATACTGGCAACATTTGAAATATTAAAATTCCGATATCGATTGATACCGAGGCGGCTCTCCGGAATGAAATGTTCAAATTTGCATTAAACAAGACACGGATTAAGTGCCCGGTAGTTTTTATTTTCAACGATTTCTAATCGATTAAAAATTACGGGGGAAAAATGCAAAAAAAGTTGGTAGGTATGAGTTTCAGGTCACCCATCCCGATACTAACTTCGCTAAACCAGACTTGACTCAGTGTCATTGATGTCCAAGGTTTTTCCATTGGACCACGATTCCTGGGGAATCTGCATAACAATGGCTGTGAAAACAATGCAACAGATAGACTAGACTTTTTAACAGCATAATTTCAACCGATTCCGTGCGTGGCAGAGATGCAAGGGATTAGCCGATATGGTCTGGGGGCCGGCTGGTCCCTCCCCTGATGCTTCGGCTAGAACATTTTCTTGCGTAATTCGTACACCCAAGGGCAGAAGGATTTAATCGCCGTCAGGTCCGAAGTCCATACGCCGCCTCAGCTCTGCGGATGTCTCGGGGGTATGGCAAAGTAGAATCGATTTTTTAAAAAATTTCTGTTGGTGGGTTCGAACCCCATCGTATCCAGATAATATTTTTTTTCCTTTCAAAAAGCATATTATCATCAATTTGGCAATATCTTTCTTAGAATAAGTGAGTACCTAATTCCTTTTCGCTCGGCATATTCAGAATTTCAATTCAATTGAAAATTAATTTAAAACAGTTAAAAGCATTCTCGATCGGAAACTCGATTGTAATTTTCTGATTTGAAATACTGCCTGGGAGAATGTTACTGACAAAAGCTTTTACTCCTCTTGGTTTCGATTCGATAGATCGGGCGGTATTTTCTCTGTATTTATTGCTATCATTTTTTTTTTAAAGGTAGACGGTAGTAATGCAGCTACTGCATGTTTACCCAAAGGGGCCAGCATTTTTCAGCTCATTCCTCGCGCACAAATAATTCCCCTCTTTTAAGTTCAGGGTTATCACTGACTACCATGCCTCATCGAGAAAAAGGGCGTGGTAATATTTCTAGATAAAAATTGAAAAAGCTGCCTGGCATTTAATCCACTTTGTGTATCAGGAAGTTTATTTCTGAACAGTGTCTGATCATTTGGACCTTCTGTGATACGAAAGATCGATCGCGAAATGACTTTATCCACACCTGATTTTCTGAGTAGTACAGATCCATAACTTAAACTGAAAGATATACCATAAATATATACCATATATACCAGTTATATTCTTACCTTTATGATAAATCTCATTATCGTAAGGATTGTAATCTGAAACCAGATGAAAACGACACAACATAAGAAGTTCACGTTTGAAGTTCGTGGTATTCCACTCATGGGGTTTTTCGCGCGCTAAACGTTTTGGGCTTCCTTTGTAAAAGCCAGATTTTCCAAATAAGGTAAGTTTACCGAAGTGGCGAACGACAAAGCCATTTCAGGGAAAAGTTTGAGTGTCATGCGAACACTGAACTCTTGAATTTCATCACGTCTGCATACAATAATTAAGTTGCAAATACTAATAGGATATCATAAACTTTAGTAGTCGTGGCTCTTATAAGAGATGATTGGTACTAATAGATATATTGCATCCAACTTGTGAGCAGCCGCGTCAGCCGCGTCGTTTTCCCGCCGATTTCCAGCCGACTTTCCCGCTCAACGTGTTTCTTGAGCAGGAATTTACTCTTTGCTGTATTAAATTCATAAGACTTTGGGGAAGTTTTCTAGAAAATAAATAAAGAATCGGAAAAGTTCATCGTATTAGATAGAGATYATTTGAAAATATTACGCTAAAGCTTTTTGAAAATTTTTAATACCTAGGCCTTTTCACTGCCATCTCAGATTTGTTTTCGAAGCGGAAGAAAAAAAAACTTAAAATGAATTTTAAGGCTTTCATTTTCTAGGTAGCAACTCGTTAGCAAAATTTTCTGTATACAAAATTTAGTTTATTAGAAAGAAAGCCATCGTGAACGATATCATGTGAACAGTGAGCATGAATCGCTAAATTCAATTAGAATATTAAAGATAATCTTCGTTCGTTAATAGACATCCGTTCGTTAGTGATTTGTTCCAAAAAAAAAATTGACATTACATTATTGTTTTTACCTTTTCTTGCCTTCTTCCTTATGTATCATATTTGTTCTCCTCTCTCTCTTTCTTTTAATTCAAGTTTCAGATCTTTAGTCCTGTTTTCATCGTTCTTCTCTAAAACATAGAAAACGCTTTTCCTGCCGGTCCTCCTGTGTATGACTCGCAGACCTTACGCTTGGTGGTCTGGTAACAAGTGGTGTTGGTTAGCAAGCCAGTAAAGTGATGCACTAAACTCTCATAGAAGAAGATCAAATCTTTATTTTTTCAAGATATTCCTTCATTTTTTCCTCAAAATCCACGCAATCAGGGTAAGTTTATTCATTATCTTTTCTCTTCGAAGAACAATGTATGAAACTAATTCACCACGAGCGAAAAACCACTCGAGTGTTTAATCACAAATGGACCCCTAGACTCGCAAGAGCTTATAAAAATGTAGTTTTAATCTGTACCGAAAGTTTCGTGTTAAAGACCAGATCCTGGTATAATATTTTAGCTTGAGTTTACAGCTATTTTAGGCTATTAGTTATAAAAAATACTACGAAGCATCGAGTCTCTTTGAAGTATATAATTTTGTGAGCATTATAACTCTTCCGGTATAAAGCTGACCATGCGTGCTGTCTACCACTGAATGTTCTTTCAAATGAACCATTTAGCTTGATTTTATTTCATTTGATATGCTCGTAATTTTAATAGCCTAAAGGAACTGCCTTGAGAATGAACCAAGTGTTTCAATGAGAAATATGCAAAGTAAACTATAGTAGAGTTAACGAATTCCATATGGTTTTGCGTGGTATGTCCTCTTATTTACCACGATATGACGTCAAAAGTAGGTCAAAATGTCATATAGCCATAGTTCTATAATCTTTGTGCCTATGAGTGCTGATAGCCATAGGTTAGGCTTACTCTAGTTTGCACTATGAAATGAATCAAAATACTATTAAATTGAATATTTTTGTAAATATTTTATACTTTATTTTTGTAAATATTTTATATTTTGTATTGCATCGTCTTATTGTAAATATCATATTTTTCAAACCTTGTGGTTTGCTATTGATATGCTAATAGACTATTATTATTATTAATGAATATATAATGATTATACCTTTGAGAGAAGCATCTTTTTGTTCCCCTAGCTTACCAGGCTCAAAATGACGGCTGGCCAGTCACTGGTCATGATGACCAGCCAATTTAGTTTTAGCTTGGTTATGCCTATTTTCTAGTTCAACTATTTGAGATGGCTGAGATTTTAATAGTTGATGATTTGAAAATAGCAGAAACCAAATGAGAAGCAACCCAAAAGCACATTAGGCCTAGGGTTAACGTCGAACTTTCCATGCACCGAACTTAATTACATCAAAGAATGCTGCCTCATTAATATCACCTGATATCCATTGTTATGAATGAGTTCGGTGCATGGAAAGTTTGATGTTTGCCCTAGGTCTTATTTCCATTGACAAAATGATTATGGATTTACTTCTTTACATTCTAAAACAAGAACCCCACCTTATTCCAAGAAAGATCATTTGACTGACAGTGTTTATGACCCTAATATTTGCTGTCTTTAGATTGTGGTTTTTGCTTCTGGAATCCAAGAAAATGGATTCAGATGATATCAAATGGAAAAGTGTTCAAACTACCTCAAGGGAAATATTGCATTACAGTAACAAGATTACTGGCCAGCAGAAGTGGACTAATAAAAATTGTTATGTAAGTATCTAATTTTATTTATTTATTAAAACTGCAGGCTGGTTCTGCACAATAAGACATATTAAGGTCCCTTTTAAGGTACATGTACATTTTATGTACTTATTGACTGAGTGGGAGGGCCGTACGGGAAAATATTTGGCTCGAGGTGATGCCGTACGGACAGAGCACAGTGAGGTCCATACAAATGAGCGAGAGCCAAATATTTTCCTGTATGGCCCGACCTAACTCAGTCAATAAGCATTTTATCATAATATATTATATTATGTGACCCTCACGAAAAGAAAAATAATTAAAATAAAAGAAAGAAAGACAAAATAAATAAAAGCTACAAAAGGGAAAGGGTGCGGATTTGAGCAGGGCCGTATGGATTTGTACGGCCCTGCTCGCTCAAAGCCGTATGGCCCTGCTCATGCCATTTTCCCTAAGGTTTTCCTAAGAGCACGCGCCCAGGCAGATACGGGTCATATGATAATATCACTTACCAACCCTCTTGAAATTCCTATACACATCCAGACACTCATGAGGGTTGTCACTGCCAGGGCTTCTTTACTTCCTCATTAGTTTCTTTAACTTCCTTCCAATGCATGGTGCATTAAGGTAGTGAAGATATGGGACCACCATTTCACTTCAATGGCATTCAGAGCCACATGAAGATCTAATCAGTAGATGTTTTTACATGATCTCCTGCACAAAGATCTGATGCTTAACCAACTGAGCCAACCTAGTGGTGGTTATAGAACTAAGAAATTAGCTAGTCACTGCATGTACATACGATTACGGATCGCATTAACTGAATAATAGACCTCCTTGGCTTGGGCAAAATTTTCCCCCATCTCAGACCATGTGTCATTCCCTAGGGTATTTTTTGTTGGCAATGTTTTTTTTTGGTAGCTTGCAAATCCATAATTTTAAGATGAAAAATGATACCTCAGTTTTGCACATTTTCTTGAATTCGATTGGCTAATAATTTTTATCAGATCAGCTAGTGCATGTGAATTGGTTTGTTTAAAACAGCTGTAGTTCTCTTGAGGCTCTAGCTACCTATTTCTTCACTCAGCAGCAATCAACCATTAAGGACCACGTCAAACATGAACTTCACATGAGCTTTATGTAATTTGTAATTTGTATTAAGCCTGAAGTCTTAATATGATATGGGAGGGCTTTTTGTAGTGATATCTTTTATCATAAATTTAAAATAATTACAATCGATAATTAATGTTATTTATTGTTTGCTCTTACTTTAGTGTTCAAAGCCAAAGGATCCATTACAACCTACCTTGCCTTGCTGTTACAAAATGCCTTCTATGACTCTTAAATCAACTGGAAAAGGTAACATTACTACTGTTTTCATTGCTACGCACTGATTGAGACAACAGTTACAACATAGAACTAGGACAATGAACTTTTGTCAATCAAATAAATGAAACCCTGAAATGACCTCTGGGCTAATCTACTGTAAGTCAGTGCATGGCTAATTAACTCACAGGTTGAACTTTATTAGCAAAAGAAAATATAGCATATTTAGTTTTGCTAGCATATTTGGTTTTGCCAAAGAACACAGAGAAAAACCGTTGAATCAAGGGAGAAACATGACAAACTCTACTCTATTCTTAGTCAATGAATCAAACCAGAGAATCAGGAGGGGAGTGGACTACTGCTACATGTATGGCACCCTTGATTCCTCAACACGTCCTGAACTACCTATTGTACATGCAAGGCTATCCAGCCATACATGTACATGGTTGTTGTGTTAAACCAAATTTTTGTGAAAAAATTTAGCCTATGTAGCATGTGCTTTGGGGAGGTGGGAGGGGAGGAGGGGGCTACGCAGGATAGAAACAATAATTGAGTTAAACATTTATACTGACAACATGAACTACAGTACTTTTGTTCTTTTCTCAGTCTCTGTAATGTGAATGTTGGTTGAGCTTGGAACATTTGAAGTTTTATTAATTAGGTACTGAATAATAGCTTATGGTTATGACGTCATATACTGTAGTCAAGTTATCAAGGTTGTATTACATTATTTTTAGTCAGCTTTAAAATTAATGTTGGTTAATCAAAAAGGATGATCCTACTGGAAAGATGACATTGAATTGATACTAGATTCAGAAAACTAACCAATAAAAAATAATTCATGTGCAATTTGCCGACATAGCAATGAAAAGCACCAACCTTGTATGGCGTCTTAATTATGAGTTTTTATTCAGTAAGTAATAAATAAAACTTCAAACGTTCCTATTCAACCAACATTCACAGTACAGAAACTGAGAAGTGGAGAGAAGTAGTTCATGTTGCACACTGAAATTATGACTTTGTATCATTTTAGAGACTAATACACATTAATACACCTCAAATCCATTGATTTCTTTTGTGCTATTTGACAATTACACGTTACTGGTATGTTTTATTTTATGGGTTAAATGCCTTCATTCTAAATGCTTTTAAAAAAACATTTGTTTTTGCAGAATGGGCAGAACACAGTTATGCTAGAAGAAAAACCCAGCCCTCGTTATCAAAGAAACTTTATTGTTTGGGTGACATCGTCAATGAAGTTCAGAAGTCTTTTCTCACCAAGGGACATGCAAAACACAAAAAAAGAAAAGAAGACGTCACTTTGGATTTCAAAGATCTCATTACTACTGAAGACCCCAAGAGTGACGTCAGAATCATCAAGGCTTCCCGAAATGACCAGACTACTGAACTGTCCAAAAATGCCGTCATTTTAGTAAAAGATTCCCAAAACGACGTTAATGTTAGTAAGCATTCCAATAATGACGTAGAAGTTACCAATAATTCAAAAATTGACAACGATTTTGTAAAAGTTTTCAAAGACGACGTCAATGTTACAATGGATACCAAAACTGATGACGGTAGTTTCACATATATAAAGGACACGAAAAATGACATCACTACGAAGGATAATTCCATTAGTGACGTCAGTGTTTCTAAAGATCCTTCACTTCTTGCCAAAGATTATTTAATTGCCACTAAGAACACAAAACATGACGTCACTGGTAGTGATAATTATTTCAGTTATGGCGTCACTGTTGCCAAGCATCCAATTGATGTTATTGTCACTGCGGATATGAAAAAGGAAGTCAGTGAGGATAAAGATTCTGATTTCAATAATGACGTCACTGTTAAGAATGACACTAGGAATAAGGAAAATGGTTTCAATAATGACGTCACTGTTGTCAAGGACCTTAAAGATGATATTGTTGCTACGGATAAGGAAAACGACGTCAGTGAGGCTAAAGATTCGAATGACTTTGTTTCAAAAGAACCAAGTAAAATGAAAGAGAAAGTCACCATACAAAAGAGGGGTTTAAAAAGAAAGAGAGAAGCCAGCGATAACATCAATGGTTATAAAGGAAGACTGCGAGTTCGTCGAAATAAGATAGAAAGAACAATTCGTAGAAAATACAGAAGAAGAAGAACTTTGAAAAGTGAGGCTGTTTCAAGTGAATCCGTTCAGCCTAAAACTGTTGATACTCCTAAAAATCCATCCAAGAAGAAGAAGTTGGAAGTGGACAACAAAGTATTGCAAGCAGACTATGATTTAATTGAACAAAGTATCGTTGAAATTGACCGCTACACTTCTGGTTATTCAGTTAAACTTAACAAACCCAGTTTTGATTTGGGAAGTCAACGCCTAAATATCGAAGGGAGTGTGCCTGGAACGTCCAACGCGATTCCAGGAAGAATTGAAATTCAAGGAAGGATTGAAAACCCTTCTACAACCCTAAGCTCCACGAATCATGATCTCAGAACAACATCGGGAAAAAAACACAATGAAGCATCAGAACTTCTTGTTGATGTGAGTCATGTTCGATTTATTGACGAACAATTCATTCAAATGAACATACCATTCCAAAGTTTAGTAGCTGAAGTTAACGGCAAAAAGAGTAGAAAGTCGAAAACGATTGGTAGTGTAGAGAAGAAAAATCCAGTCTCTAGGAGAAAGCGCCAAAAACTATTACCTAGAATTGCGTCTTCAGAACTCTCTTCAAATAGCCCAGGTGTTACCCAAAATAGTAGAGTTTCTGCTTCGAGCAGTTGTATCACCGTCTCTTCAGTCACACCAAGTTTATCTTCGCTCAAAAGTGTGTCAGAAACTGGCAGAGAATCCATTCAAGCCATGTCTCAGGTAAACAACACAGAAGAGTCAAACTCGAAGACTTTGTCTTCATCAAACTTGACAAATACTAACCAGTCTCCCTCAAAGTCTCGCAAATGGAATTTTCCGCCGAATAGAAACCGAAGTCAAAGATCATTGAACGAAATTGTCAACTGTATGAATAGCCCGAACAAGGTCGAGGTACCAATTTCGTCGACCTTGCCCGTGACGAGCTGGTTAACGATCTTTTCAAAAGAGGCGAAAAAGGTTAAGAAATCTAACCGAGATATCGACGAGAATGACTTAAGCGACAATGGAACTTCCTTGAACAATGAGCAATTAGGTGGACCTAGTTGTGCGACTGATAATCATGGAGCTTATTGTCCAGAATCTGAACCTTCCGTATTTGGTCACATTGAGAATGTTTTCAGTCTAACTTGCATGCAGCAGACGCCAAGTGTAGAATCTGTTCAGCAAGCTGGTTCCAATTCCAGGTCAAGTGTTAAACATAATTCAAAAAGAACTGGTTCTCCAAAAGAAGAGGCCGGTGGAAAAACCAAAAATACTTGTGAAGCTGGGGCAAATACGATAGAGGCAAAGCAGTTATTCCAGACACCGGAGCAAGCGAGAAATGTTACCGAAGTTCCAGCTTGTTATGTTGATCTGTCTTGGCGAATTGTCACTTCAAATGACGGGCATTCATCGTCTCTTAGTAACTTCTTCAAGCTCGTTCCAGTAACTATTGCACGAGGTCCAAGTGGTACAGTGGATGGACAGGAACCCACGTCTTTTCTTGGTGTACCTATACACGGAGGTCCAGCTGTCATCGCTAAGATCTTGAACACTTCTGTTGCTCAGAACTGCAATGAAATTTTTTCCATAAGGCGCAGACCGAATATTGAAACTGCTGGGACTTACATCAAAAAGTCGACTCTGTCTTTCGTTTGGGATAATGATGCTGTTCTTGTCAACTCTGAGTCGCTAAAAGCAGGGAATTTGTCTGGAAAAGATGTGAAACCAAGGCCTCCGATATGGATGGATAATTGTAATAGAGTGTCGATAGTTCTGCCAAAACCATTACGACTGCCAGCGGCCGGAAATGTTATTTATTTAGGCGACTTTAACGTGAGAGTCAATTATGTCGAATTTGTAGTTACTCACTCTGTGGTGGTAACGAAATCACCTCGGCCAAGTCTGACAGTCCCTTCAGGAACTCCGTTAAATTCTACTTCGACTTTTAGTCAAGCTATAAGGTGTCTTTCACCTGGGAAGGCAAAGAAAGTTGTGCAAGCAGCAAAGAAAGTTGCTTTGGACAGAAAGGCACAGAAAGGTGACATTACGACTTTCCAAAAGTGTGTTTTTTGTGGAACTGAATTGATGTGCCAGAGAGATGTGAAGATGCATCGAAAATTGCATACTTCTTTTGCGGGGACCAAGTGTAGTGAATGCAATAGACGCTTTGAAAATGGCGGTCGGTTGTCTGTCCACCTCAATAGTCACAAGTGCCACTGGCTTCACGTCTGTGCTATATGTAAAAGTCCATACGGAACTCCGAAGTTTCTAACCCCCGTGGATCTCGCCAAGGATTATTACAAGATGTGTCTTCCTTGTCGTCGAAAGGAATTGAAGTGCAAAAAGTGCACTGAGAGGTTGTTGACATTTGAAGATCTTAAACTTCACTTGAAAGAGAAGCATGGCCTCAACTGTCCAATTTGCAAACTCAGTTTTTTCTTTAAGCGAGATCTAATCAAACACATGAATATCCAGCATGGTATAATATCGCCGTCTGCTAGCACCACTAGGTCGTGATTTAAATCCAATTACTTTTTCATATGCACCTGTTAATTTTACACTGGAGAATTTTCTGACGCCTTAGGGGAGATCGTCAAAAAGAGGAGTGAACCCTATGTTTATTTTCATTAGTATYCAAAATTGACTTGCATCTGCTTAGTATTATTGATGGATGCATTAGGTGAACAAGATGTATTTTGACCTCATTCCCATTCTCAGAAAGGATAATCATAGCTTCTTCTTGTAATTGAAGATCTATTTTCTAATTCTTCGTTTGCACGTGACGTCATAGAGCAAGAAAATAACAACTTAAAATTAATTATGAATGCTATAAACTCGATTCTTCGATATGTTTTGGAGAACTATGATGTGACTAAGTGTAGAAAATTTCAGATCGTTTCATCGTTTTGTTTCCGAGTTGTGCAAATTTGATTTTCTTCATGTAATTCTGACACTTCTTACGGGTCTGAAAAGTCATAAAAATGAAAAAGAAATCGCTAAATGAAATATTTTTATTGTTTTAAATGTCTTAAGTTCGAYTTATGTATGTCTAAAGTGAGTTTGATATTGTTGCCTGCGTGAAATATTTTTTTAAATTTGGCCTCCATTGCTGGTGGACCAAATTAGTCCACCAGTGAGTTTTCGCCATATATTTACACTATAAAATCGGAAACTTCATTCGAACATAGCTCGTTTCAGAAATGCTCTAATGCTCCAATTTTTAGCTCAAAGTTTCATTATTGGTGGCTCTGCATGGTCATTAGGATTGTTTTTTGATTGGAACCGAAAAATATCCTGGCACCAGCAATAACCACGTGGTTGCAAACGAAGAATTTGATGTATTATTATTATTATTCAATTGGGGTGTAAAGATACCAAAAAATTTGTTTCTTTTTTCTCAAATTTGTGATATTTTCCTGAAAGATTGCTTCCAAGAAGCAAACAAATGTTATTTGTTAGGCCATCTAAGTGCTGCATATTGATTGCCTGATACAAACCGGAAATATAGACCAAGACCGGAAGTAGACTTAAATTTAAGTGTTGAGAATGCTGACATTGTTGTTATACTATTGAATTATAATTATAGTCCATAGATTATTAGTAAACTTTGATTACTATAAAGACCCCTTCCTTCATTAGTCATATACTTTATTTACACGCACATATATATATATATATACACTCGATTGCAGAAACGTTGTAGTATACATTTATACATTTATACAAATACCTAATGAGATGCATATTGCCATTTTTACTTTTTTAACCCTCAAAACCAATTGATTTATAATCTGTAGGATATAAAACACAAGAATAAAATATTTTAATGTTCATTGAATGAAACAAATAATAAATAAAGCGAGTTTTCTGTTTTGCATATCATTAAATATACTGAATAAATTAGGTATTTGTATAAATGTATACTACAACCTTTCTGCAATCAAGTGTATATATATATGTATATATATATTATATAGGTCCAAGTTATAATAATACTTTTTTTAACCAAAGTATGTTCTTATCATATAAAAGACTTGATGATAACAGTATTAAAAATATTACACATTGAAGTTATTCCATGTAGGGTGCTTCGATATTTGGGTTTCCTGTGTTTAGTGTTGGCCATTGAACACAACTCTTTAAAAACTATTGTTTTTATTAATAAACGAACAAAGAATCAAAAATTATGTTTTGTATTTTCATTTCAAACTTGCGAGTTTAGTATCCCCGCTGAAATATATGATCATATACTTTATTTATCAATAGTTTGAATGTGTGATGGCTCAGTGGTCTAGTGGTATGATTCTCGCTTTGGGTGCGAGAGGCCACGGGTTCGATTCCCGTCTGAGCCCCATTTTTTAAAAATTGATTTTCCTAATCAAGCTTTTAACTGTGCAAGTCTAACATTCTAGGACAAAATGGACAAAATGGAAAGTTAAGCTTTAATATCAGTAAGGGATGATATATTTTTATTTGTGTTTTTTTAATATTATGATCTATTCAATATATTTTTAAATAACTTGGTAACTTTTGTATTTACAAATGGCTTATTAGTAAGTAATATGCAAAATATGTAGTGACTATATTGGTTCCAAAATTTGAGTTTCAGCAGAATAATTACTAGTACGAGGTTTGGATTTAAAAATTTTGAATTAAAAACAAAGGAARCCCAAACATTGCTTTTTTGGTGTGTGTGAAAGTATGGAGAAAAAGTCAGAATGTAATGGTCAAAATATAATAAAATTGAAGAGATTGTATTAGCTCATTTTATTCTAGTTTTCTAAATCTAGGTCACCTAATAAATATTTTTGCAGCCAAATGTTTCCTTGGGCCTTCGAAATGAAAAGTGTACTAAAAATACTGAAATTTATGGAAATACTGAGTTTTGGTAACAATGAATATTGTCGTGTTTTATTAGTGAAAGGAAAGGAAATTGTTAACGTCTTCCATTGAAAGAGGAAAAATATAGGAAGATAAAGATGAAAAAAAAAAGGGCTCAGACGGGAATCGAACCCGTGACCTCTCGCACCCGAAGCGAGAATCATACCACTAGACCACTGAGCCAACGCTCACCATTCAAAGGTCAAAAAAGTATAGTGATTTGTTTTGGCTCTCTTTACGCTTCATTGATGTCACATGGTAAGACGAGGACAAGTTGTGAGGTTTGTCTTCATTGTGTTTTGACTATTTTTGTTACTTTTAAAGTCACGTCTGTATTATTTTACATTAATCACTGTTAATGCAAGCTTTGTTTAAAAATCTTCTGGCAAAATCTTGCAGATTTTTTGGTAATTTTTTAGTGTTAAACGTGCACCAATTTTTGTTAGTAGGTTTTCAAGATGGCGTCTTGTGTCAAACATCATGTTTGTACTGTATGGAGAGGGAATATGAATATGGGGACGAAAGTTCTGTTTTCTTCGTCAGTCACAAAATTTGTCTCAAGTTTTATAAAATGTATGTGTTTATATTGTGACAAATAAACTAATATAAACTAAACTAATTTGTTATTTTCACATTTAGATGCTCCTATCAAGCTCATCTTCTAATTTTCAAATACACCTTGAAAAAACTCCAGACTACCCCTGGTTCCAAAGGTATCTCATAAAAATATATTAATTTTATAGAAGATAATTGAGGTGAGGGGGAGAGGGGGAGGGAGGTGGGGTTGCAGAAATTTATGTTGCACAATATCTTTTGCTTTCCTATCAGCCCCAGAAATAAAAATTAAAAATTAAAAATTTTCACTAAACTCAGCTCCCCCACCTTGCCATACAATGTCACTATTGAGCCCCCAATCAA